CCTAGGTGACTGTCTTCCTTAGAAACTAAAGGTGGAGAGTAAAAAAGAGCTAGATCGTACTTTTACGAAAGTAAAATATTACTACATGCTGAATTAAGGCTGAGATGTTGTAACAAAAAAACTCGATGTCACTGTAGCAAGAAGAGAACGAATACGAAGTATAAGTATGTTCATGATCTGATGAAACACATCGCAATCGTTGTTAACTTGCATGAATGAAACTAAATACATTGCTATTCATTGTGCAGTTCATATAAACCCAAGCAAAAAATTATATATAATGTTTTTCGATGAATAATTAATATTCGTATTGGTCCTGATATTGATCTAAATAAAAAAAAAGTTTTATCAAAACGTGCCGTTCATTGTATCATTGAAGTTAATTTGAATAATACAAATAAATATTTTTTATCTATTGTCACTAGTTGTTGATTTTTATCATGAGATTTGATCTAAATAAAATAAAAAAAAAACAATTTCTATTCTGAGAAATGACTTACTGTTTATGTTGATATGGAGCGTGATCTAAACAAAGGAAAACTTGAGTTGTATCAAATAATACTTACTGCTCATTGTATTCTTGAGGCTAATTTGAATAATATAAATAAATGATTTCTATTTATTAGCACTATTGATTTTCATCTTGAGATTTAATTTAAATATAAAAACAAAATAATTTTTTTTTTCTACAAAACGACTTACTGTTTATGTTGATATGAAGCGTAATCTACAAAAAAAAACAAACGTATTATCAAAAGACACTACTCTTTATATTGTTGAAGTTAATTTAAATAATGTAAATAAATGATTTGTATTTATTATCACTATTGAATTTCATCTTAGGATTTGATCAAAATAACAAAAAGCAATTTCTATTCTGAGAAACGACTTACTGTTTATATTGATATCGAGCATGATCTAAACAAAGAAAAACATTGAGTTTTATCAAAAAATACTTACTACTTATTGTATTCTTGAGGTGAATTTAAACAATGTAAATAAATGGTTTTCATCTAGAAACACTAACTTTGGTTTTTATCTTGAGGTTAATCTCAGTAAAAAGCTTATATTTGATCGATCCCTATTCACATATCAATAATATGTAATAAGATTTGAATGTACGCACATCACTTGATGGAAGAAGTCTTCCTCCAGAAACATACATGTATTCTGCTCTGTAGTCAACAATAACTATGAAACTCATAATCGAGTTGAGAAAAATTGTCTATTCTTTAAAAAAATTTTACTGATTGAAAATGAACAGTTTTTCCTTAACCAAAACTCAAACTATTTTCATTCAATTTTTGACGCTATATGTCTGAGTTTATTATTAATGTGAACATGTATTGATTACATGTATGCGTGTAGAAAAAAACATTGGAATCTTCATTCCGTAAAACGATCGAGCTATAGCATTATGATAGAATTTCTTAGAGTATATAATTATTTAAACTTTTTAATCAGTTATGTTGTTCTTTTGTCATCATCGAACTAAATAGTTTTAAAGAATGAAATCGAGATATTGCGGACAAACAACAATGAAATGGATCCGATCACACGTACACTTTTCTCATCCGACTTTTTTTTCTTTATTTATGCTTGAACGTCTAAATTTACAATGAACAATCATTCTGTATTATTATATTGATCCAATCGCTGTTTTTCATTATTTCATATTCGTCGGTCATGTATATCGTCGAGGTGTGATATCACTTCAAGACAGAAAGCATAACAGTTGAACATTATTTCATCTATCTTTTTTCATCGTGATGTTTCCATTCATTTATTACATGCCGAGGCTCGCTGTCGTAAACAAAGGATAGCGCTCTGTGTTTGTGTCTTATCTTTTCTTTTTCTGATCTTATATAAGCCATGGTACTTTCCACTTTTCTTCAGTCTTCCAAGAATTATGAAAGATGAAAACTTTGCAAATAATCATATTGATATTCGTTGTGGTAAACCAATAACATTTATCAATAACAACAATCTGAACTGTTTTTTATTAAATCATATGCGTACTCGGTTCACCACACATGAAGCCTGCTGGATCAACCAAATTAAATACTCTGTCTATACGCGTGAGATCAATAGCAAGATTAATGATTCTTGTATACTTTATCGTGATAATAATACGAATAGTATTGGTTTTATTATGGCTATAATAAATGAAAGCGAACATATACAATCTGTTATGCCTGCAAATCTGGTTCATTATGATGAATTTCTTTTACAGAAAGAATTATTTAGAAACATATCTGTGGTTTATGAAGAATTAATTGATACATCGGAATTCAAGTTGTTTTCACATACCCATTTGTTACGGAAATTAGTTTTTAAATTTGAACAAGAAAATAATTGTACATTTTTTATTTTTATAAATACAATTGAAAGTACATAAATAAAAAAATATTCTCACATATTTTCGCCAGGAAATAAATATTTATCATGCTGAGACAAGTTCACTGTTTTCCATTAATTCATTCGAGCATGAAGAAGACAAACATCTTCAGAAATAAGCTAGAGACAGAACTTAATACAAAAATATTTCTTCAAAAATATCAGAAGGCATACGATTATGTGTATTGTGCACGTGAAAAAAGTTGGTCAGAAAAAATTTCGATAAAAAAAAGTATCTCATTTACACGCAAAAGTTCAAAGTTTTGAGGTACAATGGGCGTTTTTCGTTAGAAATAACGTTTCAACCACTTTTATACATAAATTTGACGAAATTTGGCTGAAAAAGGAGTAGAAAAAAAAGGAAATGTCGAAAAAATCGACAAAAATACGATTTTTTGTGCGTTTTTTGACATAAGCGAAAAAAACGCATAAAATTTGACTAAAAGTTGCTACTTTTGTTCAAAAAACGTGAAAAATCGATATGTCTGTCTGCTTGGGAAGTAGCTTATTTAGCAGTATAAAATACTCTGTGATTCTCCATCGAGGAAAAGGATGAAAAGTTCAATGCCTTGAAAAAAAAATTGGAAACATGGCGTTCTAATTATAAAAGCACTCTTTGGTCTACTAGTAACAAAGCTTAATTTAACCACGGGACTCTGTCATGATCTGCATCTTGACATGCTCTTCCAAATAAAAGGAAAGCTAAATATAACGAATAAAGACCTTCAGAATATTGTTGATTGCATGAAAAAAAATACAGCACAAATGACACAGATTTCTCAGTTTTTTTTGAAGCAAGGCAAGATTAAGAAATTCTCATTCACTTATGACAAATTGGCTACATTTTGAAAATTTTATATATTGATATTAATTATCTGGCGTGTAATCAAGTTTTGTTAGGATGTTAAATCAGTAATATTATTTAATTTATAGAGACTGACATCTATTGCATTATCTTAATAGCAAAATTAGAATGTCTAGTGATGGTTATGCGTGAATCATTGAATCATGTATGATTTCATTCAACTTAAATCATACATTATGTATCGTGCTCAGCAATAATGTAATGAAGACCTGACATATACTGAAATGTCAGAATTTTGGATACGTTTTTCTGAAGATCAAGCTAATGACCATAACGAATTTTTCTTTTTCGGATGTTATTCAGTTAGTAAATAACCTATTTACTACTATTTTAAGATAAAATAATTAACCAGTAACATATAACTGTTAAAAAAATTATTTATAGTCAATGTTACAAAAGAAACGAGGGAATTAGAAAGATAAATAAATTAGTAGAATTGATCTAATTCTTTGAGCGCCATACGCTCCAAATTAAACATCACTTACATTTTACGATAAAATTAACTCAAAACAAGCGTTAAAGATATGAATGATCAGAAAAACCGAATCGAGAAAGAAAACAAAGTATATGTGAAACATTGTTTTCTAAATTGAAGACTGATGAAAAAATTCGAGTAATGAATGATTAGTAAAACCAATAGTCAAATTCTATTACACAACTGATCCAATCTAGAGCTCAGGTTTGATAAAAATTATAGTACTACCACTCCAAAGAGCATTCGGTAGGAAGATTTTGAATCTAGTGAATATCCGACTAGATTCGATAGTTGATTTTAGTAAGCATAATCAAATTCGCATTTCAACAACGTTCTTTTCGAAGTCTATAAAATTACTGTAGATACTCGCTTCCAAACTCTTTTTGGTCAAGTTTCTGAAGTTTTCATATTACTTTCTGAGACTTTAGATTTATACATGAGCATACACATTTCTAAAAATATTGCAGTTTCAGCACTGTTATATTGTAGTCATTTATAAATCGACAAAAATACATGGAGTTCATCGGACAGAAGGTAAATGTCTTGGATATCGTGTACTACTTTCAATATCTCATTCAGACTATCTATCATTTGAAACTTTTCTTTGTTCAGTTATGCATATCATTCTATTAGTTTTTAATATTATTGATTATATATGAATAATTGACTGGCAGAAGACATGATTCATTTTGACTGAACTCAAGAACAAACAGTGAGAGTCTTTTTATTTCCCGAATTATTATAACAAATGTGTTTTAACTGAAACAATAATTAAAAAAACATGAAAATAGAGTATTTTTATATCTCAAATACGTCATTATTAACAATGTCATAAGCTGACTCATTCGTCCTTACAAGCTTCGGCCCACTTCCTTATACGAGAAAATGCAAAGAAGTGGTTTCCTCTTTGATTTTGATTTCCAAGGAAGAGAAGAAAAAAAATACTTTTGAGTAAATCGTCGGTTCTTGTCATTCCTTTTTGCTCTCGTTTATGTGAGTAGAACCAATGAATCATCTCATTAATATTGTATGTGTTTGTTTTATGTTGTCAAGCACTCTAGCAATATTCAATGATTAGAAAAAAAAGAAAGGAACATAGTAACACACCTGTCATAATCAACGGTTTTCTTATTCAAACATCTAAGTAGGTAAGAGTATAAATGGAAAAAAAATATAAAATTTTTATGTATTTATCCTATTTACAGTTATATACTTCATGACTTTTATTAATTTGATTCTATTCTTATCTTTTCTATTTCTTCAATGGGTAAAGTATAAAAAGTAAAATATATAATTACAAACAAAAGTTCCTGTTTAGACATTCGTAGTTTCTCAAGTATCATGGGAAAATTGTGAAAGTGAATCAAATGATATCAAACTATTAAATCTTACAATCAGTCCAAATCCGATTGTCGCTCCCGGATCTGTTTCTATAATAATTACTATCTATACTAATCAAAATTTGACAAGTCGATTAAAAGTTTGTTTTTTAATAAAATTAATTTACAAAGAAACGAATAAATTTTAAATATATATTTAGGCAACAGTATCATTAAGAAAAAAATTTATAATAGGTTATGTTTCAGTTCCTTGCTTCAGTATTGGTTCATGTACATATGATGATCTTTGTAGTCTTTGTAAACAATGCAATTGTCCATTGGAAGAAGTAGATATGATATAAATAAAATTGTACAATTAATAATTAATTTCTTGTTTATAGGGAGAACATACATTAAATCTTCCAATTAAAATTGATTCTACATCATGGATGCTTGCTGGAAATTACCAAGCACAAATTGATTTAGAAACTAATTCAAAAAGAAAAGGTTGTGCTAAAATTAATAATATATCTGTGAAAACAAATAAATAAATTGATTTCGTTATACATCTAGACCTGTGACAGTTCGTGATCAAGAAATTGAACTAATTTTGATCATTCAATTGTTTTCAAAAGAGCTGAATTGTTCAAATAGATCAATTCATAGACATAATTTATATAAAAAGAATTAATAGTTAAACCCACTTCTACGAAAAGTATAGATTCGTAAAACTGAGCTCTGTCACAGGCCTAGATACATCTAGTGTAAATATTATTTGTAATTCTGCATTATGTGTTTTTCTAATAAACATATTAACAACAAGCAAGTCTCGATTTATACTTTTCAATAATCAATGATTTTTACATTGCTAATGCTTATGAATGGGTGTGGGTGAAGAGCAGACTCTAATATCCACATCCTATGTTTCGATAATTTGACTTTTGATATTTCTTTTATTCCAGACTTTAATATCTTGACAATTTTACATTTCGATATTAGTAGAATCAATCATCATTTCTTAACAAAGATAATTCCATCGAATAATAGATTAAACTAAAAACAGACATGTTCGATGAAGGTCTATCTGGAGGTTTCGATTTTGTTGCAAAAATTAACAATATAAGCGAGAAAAATACACTGAAACGCGTTCATTTTAAATACTATATGAATTGTTCTCATTTCAATCGTATACTCAATTTTCTTCATTTTTATGTTCAAACTCTTTCCATGTTTCGATGACTGATGGCTGAGAATGCCGTTCTGTTAATTTTAATGGTAAATGAAACGAAAAAAAAAAAACATCTTCAAAACTTTTTAAATCTCGTGGATTAATATGACAAAACAATACTTTGCTATTGTGAACGAGAAAAAAAAAGATTATACAATAATATGATAGAAATAAATAAATAAATTTTAACATTTTCCACATAGATGAAAACATTCATATGCAAATATGTCACTTTGCCAACATAATGGTTGATTTTCCGGAATACATGTTTGAGGATTAACATCCGGCCGGGCACAATTAACTAAATTTAAAAGATAATAATAATCATTAAAAAAAAAAAAACAACGAAATAAAATTTTTATTTTACAATATTGACATTCAAAACCAAATGTATTATCTACACAATTGCAAAAACAAGGATTCTGTATTTCTAGTACTCCACCATTTTGACAATTAAGTGTACAAGTAGATGTTGTTACTATGATAAATAAAGTTTTAATTAAAATAAAAATATAATGACTAAAATCTACTTGGAGTAGTAGTTAATGAAATAATACTTGTCGTTGTTGTTATAACTAATATGAAATAAGTTAGTTTTGCTGCTATTTAAAGAAATTTTTTTTTACCTGGAGGAAGTATATTTTCCGTTCCATATCCATTACATTTATCATTCGAACAAAAATAAGTTTGTATACCATTGTATGTACTTATAGAATTCGATAGTCCACATGCCCACCAACAACATCGTCTTTCAATTATTGCTACAATAAAATTTTGCAAAGATCAAAAAAACAAAAAAGTATTTATCAAAATTTTTCGTTTCTACTTGGATTATCTGGATTTCGATATACCATACAACTAGGACAGTTTTCTGATAAAGGTGATCCTTCTAAGCCACAACCTGATCCTGAACATACATAACATTGAAATGATGATTGTACAGAGATAGTTGTTGTTGTCTGTATAGGAGATAATGATGTAGGCCAAGTCGGTATGGGAGTCAAAACTAGAATGATGTATGTTTCATGTTAATCTTTCATTATATTAAATTTTGAGAGATATAAAATGAAAGATGTATAAAGTGTTATAATTATTTCTGTGCAATTTTCAAACATTAAGAGTCTTTTGAAAAAAAACAAAAAATTCAAAACTTTATGATTTATCTTTGCTAATATATTTGTAATCAATTTGCTTTACTTGATATTTATTTTACCTATTCCACCAGTAAGTGTTGCTTCCGTTCCAATTCCATTGCATCGATTTGAAGAACAAAAATATGTTACACGACCTTCATAATCACTAATAGTTCCAGGTAAACCACAACCTGATGTACAACATCGTCGAATGACCATATCTGAATATTTATCGAGCAAAACAAAAAAAAAATTCTTTGTATTTATTTCATCTTTCTACACACTCACTGCCATCAAATTGATTAAGATAAACCATACATGCTTGACAACTATGAATTAGTGTCGACTCATCAATACCACATTGTGGATTGTAACCAGTACAATCATAACAACTTAAAGATGAACTTGGCTGTTGTGATGATCCTATTTTTTTTTTAAATTGATGAAATTCTATGAATTTATTATCATTTATGACATACCACCGTTTGTAGTTAATCCACTTGTTGTTGTTGTTGTTGATAATGGATCAATAATTCCGGGTAACAATCCGTCTGCAATAGCGCCATTACATAAATCTTGGGAACAAAAATAAGTTGGATCTCTTCCTTCATAAGTACCTAAACCATCTTGACCACAATCATTTGTACAACAACGTCTGATTATTGTGCCTGTTTTTTTTTAATACAAATCTGTTTCAATAAAATCAATTATATCAGTGATGTGTTTTTTTTCTCTTACCACCATCATATTGATTTCTATAGACCATACATTTTCCTGCACAATCAACCATAAGATGAGTTTCTCCTTGTCCACAGGGTATATATCCTGTACATTCATAACATTTTAGAGTTTCACATGGATTTAAATAAGCAGTGAAAAATAAAATAAATACATATGGCACCAATATCATGTTTTTATTCTTGTACTAGAACAATCGATTGTTATCAATCATTTTATATTATCAAAGTATTAAGCTCCACCTCCAACCTATTAGTATTCCTTTTTTTTTCGAAAATATAAAAATATGAAATAGCTTTAATGACAAATATTCACGAAAATAAAGATTAACTATTTGTTTTCGTCTAATATCAATTAAAAAAATATTCATATAGTTATATGATTTTATTAAACAAGCATTATAATTATGCAATCAAATTGCTTAAAAAATTATTATTTACATTTTGAAATATAATTCATAGCTATTTATTTGATTGCTTTTTTTTTATTGTTATTAACTTAGTATAAGTTTTGATCATGAAAAACAAAATGATTTATTCTAATCAAGTCATATCTTATTTCATACAGCTGTAAAAGTAATCATATACGAAAAAAAAAAAAAATTTCTCAAATTTATTATCATACAGCAATATATTTTATTATTATACTTACTAAATCCTTTGCATATATATATGAGACGTTTTCTTCTGTCTTATTGGAAAGAGCAGATACTAAGTAACATCGAAGAAAAACAAATTCAATTTTTCTAATATTAGACATCTAAATTCTGTTACATCCGACATTAAGTGTATAAAAAAAAATTATAATAAGTATCTACATCTTTATTAATAATCTGTGATTTTCTCAATATATATTCATGCCAAGTTAAATATGGTAATGAGAAATTGTCAAACAAAATTCGAGAGATGAATTATTAAACTAGAAAATGATTTGTAATATGAAATTATCGATAGATAGAAAATCATTAATAAAAAGTTATCTACGTTTTACTGGTCAGTATCATTTGTTCAAAATATAATAATTCGATGTTTCTTTGATCATCAACTGTCATATTAAAATTCATGAAGTTTATTATTGAGTATTTTTTTACAAGAATTTTAACTTATGATTTTTGTTTTTCTTCGTCAAAATAATTAATAATTTAGTAGGATTTCCAATAGAATGACTTAAAGAAATCTCGTACAGACTTCTATAGATATAATTACGGTGACAAGAGAAAGACATTGAAATAGGATACATAGAAAAACAAGATGTATATATAATTGAAGGAACCTAATTTGACTCGTCATATCTTCAAAAAAACAAGAGTTCGTTGTTTCAATAGATAAGAAAAACGTTGTTACCGATGTATTCTATATTATTGTTAAACAATACATATAACAGTTAAATCGAAGCTATTTTTTTTTTAATTTAACAGGTAATTAAAGACATGAAAATCAATAGAAGATGTTTGATAATATTATTCATATGCGACATCTTCGTTTCAGATAAATAAGAAATTCTATAAAAATAATCATCTTATTTTTCTTAAAATATTCACAAAAATTTTCAAAATCATGCCATTATGTAAAGCATGAATATCATATTAATTCAGTAGCTATATATATATTCTCATTTTCTTTAGAGTTTTGACAGCAATTAGTTAGATGTGAATGTTCAAATATAAATGAAAGACTTTTGCTTTGTAAAAACAAGGTTTCAATGTTCGAGGTCTTGTAATATTTTCTCCTATTGCGGAATTAATTATATACACATTCATCTCGGTAATATGATGACGTTCATACCTATTATGTGTTTTCTTTTGAAATATTCATCTGAATACTTATTTTAAGTGTCATTTGAGTTGATTGCTGTTTTTTTTTAAGCAAAAGAACCCACTTGTTTTCTTTGAGAAAAATAGCCAAAATCCTTTTTTTTTTTACATTCATTATCTTTTCCTAGAATTTGAATAGTTTTCTACCTAGACGACATCTTTGTAGTAAGAGTTTTTCCTACATTTTTATCGTTATTATTATTCTAACAACAATTGTCAATACTCATAAGTACTGTGTACTAATCATTATTATCAGTAGCATTCGTTTTTTTCCTTTCTTCTTATGCTCGTGTAAGTTTTCTTTTCTCTTTTCTTACGGATTCTTTTTTTGTTACTTTCTTGGTTTTTTTTCATTTTTTTTTAATGCGTGTGCGCTCGGGAAATTATGTCATCGAAACATCTATTACAAAGAAGAAGAAAAAAAGAAGAAGAAGAGACAAAAGTATAGAAAGCCATGCGATTTCAAGAGTATAAAATACATGATCCTACTGTTACTTAGATGATGGGAATATTTGTTTTTTTTTTTAAATTCCATTTGAAATCTTCATCTAATATCCATCACTACATTGTGCACAATAGAAGAGTAAGCATTATGCGCCTTGTTTTCTATTTAACGTCAATCATGAGGCCTTTAGGTTCAATTATATTTAGATATTTACATCATTGAATCATAAAACAAAACAGAGATTAAGTAAATCATTGATAAAAAAATATTTCATATAGACATTTTAAAAAAAATATGTTTCTTTGACATATATATATTGAATTAGCATGACGTATTTGATAAAAGACAGAAAATAGAAAATGTTTGTTTTATTTTAGAGTTAGATAATATAAAATAATCTATTATTTAACATAAGATAATAAGTAAAAGAAAACATCTGTTTTATTTTATTTAAAAATTATATTAATAAATTTTCCGTTTTCATTGTCTTGTTTTTTTTCTTTTTTTTTTGTTCTTATGATATTTATTAAATTAGGAAGTCGATACTATTGAATAAAAAACAATAAAGCACGGAATAGAGTTGTATGATATTTATCAGTAGACATCAAGGATAATGACGTACAGGAAATATTTTGATCATGCGAATAATAAGTACAATCAATGTTGAAAAGAAAAGAATAACTATCTTCTACAGATTAATACTTGAAAATAATATAGAAGTTAGAATTTCAAAATGAGCGGATGTTAGCATGAGATAATATTAGAGTATGATACTCATTATAAACTAAATACTATATATGAAGAAAAAAAAAATTATGAATGCAAAAAAAAATAAGTAGACGATCGATTTTTTTTAATTTGCAAGAGATACGATTAAAGAAAATTGTTCTCATATATATCAAATTAACGAATAGATACTATGCTATTCTTAATTTTTTGTTTTTAAAAGAAATATATCTAATCTAATATTCAGTTATATAGTCTCTTACGTTCTTAAATTAGATTACGTGCGTCATCTAAACTTTTCTTCTCATTGTTATGGTTATTCATACTTAATTATGTAACTTAAAATAACTTATAAAAAGCTATAGATATCTTCCCTTTGACGTATGTAGACCAAAAAAAGGTATACTTTTTTATATTAATAGCTCAGACGTTTTCTTTTTTTTTTTCAATCTGTTTAGAGTACAACATTACGAGTTATAATCGATGTTCTTGATTTATTTAACTCTATGAACTTGATCATTAGAAAGATATAGTAAGTAGGAACAAGGAAAATAGGAGAAAAAAAAAAACGAGGAACGAGAAAAACCAAGGACAAAGCAGAATTTGTATTATTATTATCCCGCCCACCAATAACTGAGCAACAACGAGTATGATTGAATAATCATGATCGACATTCTTCTTTTTCTTTTTATTTCTTTTGTCGTAAAGGTGCATTGTGTCACAAAAAAAAAAGAGAAATTCGATTTTAGTCTAATAATAGTGAAAAAGAAATATATGTGAACATATTTTCAAAAAAAGAAAAAGATTATCTGTTTTCGAAGGCAATTATCATTATATATGTCTATAAATGTCAAAATTAAACTGACAATTTATATTTCCTTTAAAATCAGAAGATATGATATTGCATTCTCTAATTTCAGACATAGAACCGACAATTGAACAACATATAGAAACAAAAGAAAAAGAATTCCATTGAAAAAAAAAAATATATATATATATAGTAGACATAAAGATAGATTTTATATTACTAGCTCAATTAGATGTAAGTGCATGCTTTGGATTAGCATTCTTAAAAACGATTTCTCGTTTATGCGTGCTATAATAAATCTAAAATTTTGCAAATTTGCCTTTTGTCCATGCAATATCCTGTTGAGTATTGTCTAATTGCAAAATAATTGACGTATATATTCACACATTTTACACTTGTCATATTTCTAGAAAGAAAAAAAAAACCGAAAAACGATGAGCTAGCTCATTGCTAAGCTCTTCTATTATATTGTATTCAGTATGCGATGGTGTGTAGTAATCATTTTCAAGCGAGGTAAGTTAAAAATAGATTTGATTATTCAAAATAATTTTTCTTTTATTTATAAAAACAAAAAAAAAATTAAAAGATACGCTCGATTTTTAATTAAATATCATCTGTTCATATTTTGTTCGATACTTATTATGACAAGTATTTGTGTTGGTTTATTGATATATAAACGTAATGAAATACATTTTGAACATTTATTAAAAGTAAATAATGAAAAAAAAAAAAAAGAAACAGATTAATCATGGATTAAAAATCTTTATGTATTGTCTTTTGTTTTTTGTATTAAATAGGGTTTTCAAGCACATGGAACAAAAACATCCGATGAATATCGAAAATTAATTGCACTTATACGTGAAACTCAAACAACACATTTATTTCCACATTCAATTCATAGCAAAGTAATTATTTCTATAAATAACTATCTAATATATTTTTTTGCCTATTCATTATGTTAAAATTCTTTTAATTGATGACATATAGTGCAAAAATTTTAGCATAAATTACTGACTCATTGGTTGTTTCAAAAAACTGCTTTTCAGAATAGAAAAGTTTTTGAAATCTGTCATGTAAAAGTAAATAGCACGATTGATAAAGCAAATTAAACCATTAAAAATTATTTCACTTTTTTAATTCCATAGATTTCAATAGAAATATAAAATTCACTAAAATAATAGCTGATGAGAAATTTTTTTTTTTGACACAATGTTTGTTCATGGTTGACTAACTAGAAAGTATTTCTAAGGATTCAAAAGCTATGATTTTGTGTCTAGCTTTTATTCAAGAGTAGTAAAAAACTTTCTAAAAGATCTGAAAACTTGTTTATACATTGTGAACCAACAGTTCTTTGTTTATTCTACAAGTTTCTTTTCGAAT